GTGAGTGTAAACTCTTTGGGAGAGAACCAGACCTCTCGAAAGTCTGGAATCATCCATTTTCTGTTTTGATTGCAATATACAACCGACAATTGCTGTCAGTTTACATCACAATGCATCTTGTGTAGATGTACATATGTGCATCTACGTATATGGATATTATACATAAGTATATGTAGATTTGTATTAATTTATAGTTGTACATACATACCTATACATGGGTAATGTAGATGTGTATACATATGTACTTATAAATGTGATTATGTGAACATACATACACATAGATATAGATATAGATATGTATAAGTTAATATGAATGCATGTATAGGTGAATGCATATGTACATGCAAATGTGTAAATGTATACATCAATACATGTACATGTCTACATATACACATCGACATTAACATATGTACAGGTAAATTTGAAAAAACATATATGTGCATGTATTGTGTAGATATGCATACACCAGTTCGTGTACATAAACTAACATATATTCAAAATACATGTGTGTATATACAAACATATTTATGTGTGTGTACACATTCATATAAGCATATATGTATTTTCACAAACACAAACATATATGTATATATACACATATGTATGTAGAGGCAGTTCAAACGAGAAGGCGGTCAGCTTGCAAGAAGTGCGAGAAGAGCCAAATCAGATGTGATACAAACACGTAATCAAATGTGATACAAACCCGTCGTGTTGACCGGCCATCTGGAGAGCAATTTTTTTCATGAACTTGGTCGCATTAACCAAGTCGCACGCATCCTCTTGGACGTGTTATCTCACATGTGATCTGGCCTTTCTCGCACTTCTCGCAAATTGAACCAACTTCTGCCATGCTTCTCCATCTATGTATGTAAGCGTACATATCCATATATGACTGTGCATAAGCACATACGTGTATGTATATAACACACTACATATCTATATATCAACACATATTTATGTATATACATATGCATGTGCGTGCATATATGTGCATGTATGTTTGTATGTAGGTATACACACATACTATTGCTTATAATTAAAGGGTGCTCTTGCATTTTCGTATAATGAAGGTGTTCTCGTTTGAACCTATGCCTATATATATATATATATATATATATAGGTTTGCACATGTATATGAATGCAAGAATATTGGCAATTTTGCTACTGGTTTTCTAACAGTGTCCAAAACCAGAAAACCTTTTTGCCCAAAATGCAACAACTTCAAAAAAAATATAGCATTATACATCAATCATAATACACTATTGATACTAGTTCATGTGATGGATGTTCAACTTTTCACCAAGTGTCTCAAGCTATGTTGTTATAGCGGTAAAAATACAAAATTGCAGTCAGACCGATATTTGAAATAGTGGTTATAGTGGTGGTATAGCGGTTCATATAATATTTCTTAGAATTATATATATAATATATATCTATAAATGTATGCATACATAAACATATCATTTGCATTAATTAAGAATATAGTTTCCACATCAAACCATCAACTAAAACAAGTTTCACAGAACAAAATAGGAAAATTGTTCATAAATGAGCTAATTGCAAGCAATAGGTTCAGATCTAAAAAGCCCAACTTGGGTTGATGATGAAAAGAAAGTAATTGTTATGTTAATGGATTAAAGTTAAAACACATCCCAGATCTAAAAAGCCCAATTGCCCAAAACAATAACTCAAAATAAAGCCCGAAAAAACCCAAAAAAATAACGCTATTGCAGAACGCAATTCGACCCTAAATATGGGTCAAAATTGCCGTAAATTGCACCGATAATTGTGTTACCGCTATTTACACCGCAATTTGACCACCAATATATTGCTTAGGGCCGAGATCCAAGATTGCACGCAATTAACAGCGTAGCTCAAGAGTTATGTTTAGATAGATTTTTAAGCAACTGAATAATGTGCAAAATTTGATGAAAATATAATTAAAAAATGCTGGCTTCACTGGCTAAAAAAAGATCGTTTTAGTAGATATTATTGAATAAAAAGTGTAGAACTAACATTGCTTTTCTATTAAATGTTAAAAGAGAACCATAATAATAGATGTAGACTATGTTTGAAAAGCCTACACGTTCATCCAGTTTGGGACAAAGGCTCAATTAATATGGTACAGAGGAAGTGAAATAAAGGGGCCTCTCTGATTGTTGTACTTTACTTTCTGGAAGAGAAGACACTTTTTTCTAGTTTGCTGCTTCAAGAATAAAGTTAGACAGTCTAGAAGGAGCCTCTCAACCAAGCCATAAATTGAATCTATATATCGAATCGAATGAAGATACAACAATTAAGTAGTGATATTATATATTCTGAGGAAGCAGCAAAAAAGAACTGAATGCCTTGCTCATGTGGACATTGGTAGAGAACAAAGTACCTAGTGTTGTAATCAGTTATCGCATTTGATGGTTTCACCAATTTATCAAATAGAACCTGCAAAATACACCAATTAGGCCCATGTGCATAAGAAATAAATGATTGGTTAAAGTTTTAATAGTTGCAAACTATGAGAAAGTTTGATTACATAGATTATTAGGTTACATTGTGTTAGTTAAAAACTATCAAATAATTGTATTACATAGATGAAGGGAAATGAAACAAGACTTGTACACTCATACTGGCACACTAATACCCTTGGCCAGTGCATCATTAAGGGTAGTTTATAATCATGGTAGTTGAAATTTCTACTTGAAGAAAGAGAAAACTAATCATGAAAGCATGATCTAAATCATCCTGGAAAGAACAGATATGCATTTGATCTGTAGCAGACCTTTTACAGGCGCGAATTGGATTGCCTTGGTCCGTCTAAAAAATATGGCTTGAGAATACATATATGCAGCACTTAAAGCATAACTGGATGCCAACTCCTTAGAACTTGGTAAATTCAACTTAAAAAGAAAATATACCTGTCCTCTAAAATTTACTAGTGTTACTCTTGTGAGCTCGAACCCCTCATTGGTGATACACTGAATACAGAAAAAAAAAATCATAAGTTATTCACTGAAGTATTCAGTAAATCTTGAACATCATGTATGTTGGTTGTGCTGCCTATAAATTCACTTACAGACCCAGGTTTCTTGATTAATTATGAGAACTCAAAAGATGATCCAGTTGGCTATAACATACGCATACAAGTGGGAACAAAAATTAATCCCTGATTTGGCAGCCACAAAATCACAGAGATGGATAAAGCCCAGAACACAGATGCAATTGTGCACAATCATGGCCATAATGGTTGCACCCATGCATCATAATTGAAAACCAAGCCTCTTGAATGATTGAATACCAAGTTGCATTGCAGTTGACCTCATTAGATACAACACCGACGAAGAAATTATTCTTAACAAGTGTTTGAATTTTTTTTACTACTCAGAAGACATCCACATACAATTGCATGTGCATATAAGATGGTTTTTCAGAACCTGGACATTGTTGGCAGCGTGGTATGCAACTTGGCACCATTTGTTATTGTCATGTCATGAGCTCCACATAATTCTATTCCGAATGAAGACAAATCCATAGGTTGAGCAACAACCATGTATTTATCCCAATGAAACAGCTTTAGTCTTTCGTGGTTAAATCATTCTCTTACCATTTCACAATCAACGGCCACCATTTCATGCACAGGCTTTCCTGATGGAGCAGGAAGAGTTGAAAAGAAACCTGAAGTATATCAGTCAACAAATTAGTTGAAGAGTATAACATTTGTAACAACTCACCACTTTGAGCAAAAGCATGTAAATAAATATAACAGTAGTAGTCCGGTCACCTGGTTGATCATGGTGGTATCCATTATCTTCTAATTCCTTTGTTGTAAGTGTATAGTACGATACGGGAAATGGAATGTCTTTCATGAGCTCAGCTAAGGACAAATCTTCGCGAATAGAACATATACCTGATTGATTGCCAATTATTCGTATTTGATGTGTTAATATTGACCAAAACTTAATGATAATGCAAATACGTCAACCATAAAGATGAAAAAAACATATATACGACCAACCCCTGACCAGGATAGCAAGAAGTACAACTAGGAAATTGCCTCAATTGAGGCACATATCTAGAAAAAGGCAAGGGCTTTTGGGGCATAAGCATGGAGTTTCAATATTTAAGCAAGGTTATTTATTTTCAGCAACCTACACGTTCAATAGTGAAGGCAACATTTGACCAACCTAAACCATTGTTTTTTTAAACGTGTAGGTTGCGGAAAATAACTAACCAAAGTTGCAAAAGGTAATAAAGAGTTGTAAAGAGACTCAGGGAAGGAGGAGAGGAACAAAACAGTTTCAAGTCATAAGGGGACAGTCGAACGGAAAAAGAACAAAAAACTATCAGCCTAGTTTCTCCATGACTGCAATTAGCATTATAGTAGCTCGCTAATGTTGATCGAGTTCAAAATTCCTGTGTTGTCATGTTCTCCATTATATTACAGTCAATCAAATCTTGTAACACTTCCACCTAGATTATAGTTGGATTATCTGTAGTACATATTGTTGGCGGACTTAAGTTATGTTGCATGTGTAAACAGAAGCGAGAATAAAGAAATATCTTGTATCAGAGTATGTATAAAAAGTGGCCAGAATAAGGGATTCATTAATTAATATGTGCATCTATAGAATATCTAGAACCATGGAATGCAATTGTAACTTGATTTAATTTTTAGATGCTAATAATTATGCTAAAAAAAATTGTATACGTATATAAGGGCATGGTAAAAAAAACCTGTAGTACGTATTGCTGATAAGGACAGATTAGCATAGGTGGCATGCAATATTGTCCTTAGCTGTAATAAAATATTCATTCTAAATTTTCTCAGTTCTTTAAGTCTGCCTGTCATTTAGATATATGTATGCCACCTATGCTAAGTACCGTCTCTATCCCCAAAGTAAACAAGTCATTAAATTTATTAACATCTAGTTACATCTGATTGATGTAGTTTGATGCATCAATAAATATGATCATGTTTGTATTTTACGTCTCTCACAAGTTGAATATGCTTTTCTCATTATGATAAGCCAGCAATTGTTCAGTAATATTCTAGAAAAGCCAAAAGGGGAAATTAATTATTATGGTTAAAGAGAAAAGATTAGTTTATTTCAAGTCGAGAGAATAATGGAAGGTATCGATTTTGTGAGAATTCTCAATAATGGAAGTGGCTTTGGCTCTCAAATTTGGGAGGCGGCTACTTTCATCAGCACTTCTTTTTAATTTTTCACTCAATAATAGATAGCACTTCAGATCTTTTTCTGCTTTATTTCCACTGTTAGAATATATTGTAAATATTATGTCTATTTAGGGTTTATGATGGGCTGTACGGGCCTTTGCTTATTTGGGTTTGGGTTTTTTATTTGTTTTTATATATATACACGCCTCTCCTTTGTAATTAATTATTCAGTAAATAAGAATGCTTCTTCTCTCTGTTCCTCTGATCACATGGTATCAGAGCCACTCTGAAAACCTCCTGCCGTCGTCGCCGGAACCCTAGCCGACTTCGCCGGAACCCTAGCCGACTTCGCCGTAACCCTAGCCGACTTCGCCGGACTCCTGCCACCGTCGCCTGAACCCTAGACGCCGCCATATCTGCCGCTGCCGCCTCTGCTCGCCGGAATCTGCCGCTGCCGCCTCTGCTCGCCGAAATCTGCCGCTGCACCGCCGCCGCTGCCACCGCTGACTCAGACGACCGACCCGGTGTTTTCCAGTCGCTGTCCGCCGCCCCACGTGCCGCCAGTCGCCGCCAGCATCATCCCAACTTCTGTTTCTTGCTTCTTGAAGGTCGCCATCTTCATCCGTTCCATCTCCGATGGCTAAAGATGGAGACAAGTCGTCCGATGACAAGTCGTCTGGCAGTGTTCGTATACCTGAATTGATCCCGACGAGTGGTAGAGTTACCGATAATAAACTTAACGGTACTAATTACTTTGAATGGATCAAAACGGTCCGTCTGTATGTCCGAAGTATGAGAATGGCTTCTCATCTAGATTATGACCCTCCTACTGACGGTAATCGTGACCTTTGGTTACAACAAGATGCTCGTATGTTCTTGCAGATTATTAACTCTATTGAGCCTTCGGTCTCAACTTTGGTCAGTCATTGTGAGTATGTGAAGGAGTTAATAGATTATCTTGACTACATTTCACGAATTTACAGTGTCTGTAAGGCATTTCATCGTGGGGAACAACAGGATCGTTCTCTTATGACCTATGCCATGGAGTTCAAGAAGGTTTATGAG